GCCCTTACCTGTAGCCCTTGAGCCGCAGCTGACTGGCTGTGGGAACCCCTCGGGGCATAGGGACCGGAAGCTGCTGAGTGCTGGCTCTCAGCTCTGGTAGCCCTGGACACGGGCTTCTGGTTTCTCATTTCCTGTCTCCTCTCCTGGTCTCCTCCTCCTCTCTAGGGGAAGCTGCCTACGCGGATCACGGTTCCACTCTCTGTGATCAGCCAGCCGATGAAGGGCAAGAGTGTGGTCACGGCCCCTATCATCAAAGGCAACCTTGGAGCCAAGTGAGTGCTTGCTCAGTGAGGGCTGGGCAGGGCGCCCTGGGGGGCTCTCCCTCCACGTCTCCTGTTGTGCACAAGATCTGCTGAGCAGCTAGTACTGTTTCAGGTGCTGGGGGTAGAGCAGTGATTAAAGGAGACAAATCCTTGCTGTGCTCAAGTGAGGAGAGAGAATAAAGTAAAATACCGCATGGGGTGGTAAGACAGACTGCGGAGAAAAGCATGGAAGGGGCAGGAGGCGCTGCGATGGGGTGGGACTGACTGTGGGTGCTGGGGTGGGGGGGCACCCTCACACGCATGAGCCCTGTGGTATGGTAGGTCACAGCGTGAGGGCTTATTTACTTGGGAGCCTGGGCTTCCCATGGCCCTGACCTAAACAGGGATAAAGGGCATGGGGGGTCATTCTGATGGTCTCAAGGCAGTGGTTTGGGGGTGGGTTTCTGACCGAAAGCACACACCTCTCTGAGGCCCTATTCATCCGCTACTCCTCCTGATCGAGGTGTGGACATCAGGGTCAAGCTTCGGGCCTGCCCTTTGCTCTCGTCCCTGGAAACAGAGAGGCTGGTAGAAAGTCTGGCTCATGAGATGGGTTTCCATTTCAGTCCAGAATGCTGGGATTTCCACTGGGCACCAGACCTCCCTCTTTTCCCTCCCTCAACATGTGGCCTGGTTCTGAGTGGGAGGTGACACTCTGTCCTGCCTTCTGTCCGCAGCCTCGGTGGGCTGGGCCGCAACATCATCCTCACCACCATGCCGGCAGGCACTAAGCTCATTGCCGGCAACAAGCCCGTGAGTTTCCTCACTGCCCAGCAGCTGCAGCAGCTCCAGCAGCAAGGCCAGGCCACACAGGTAAGGGCCGAGGCGAACTGCTGGCCATAGCGGGTTTCTCTCTTTCCTTTGCTGTGTGTTCTCAGCTGATGAGCCCGTGTGCAGTCTGCTGATTGGATGCTCTCTCCGCAAACAGGTGCGCATCCAGACTGTGCCCGCCTCCCATCTTCAACAGGGAACAGCTTCGAATCCCTCCAAGGCAGTCTCCACTGTTGTGGTGACCACAGCTCCATCTCCCAAGCAGGCGCCTGAACAACAGTGACTCTGGGAGAGAGATGGCTTCGCCGAATGCCGGGGCCTGCTCTGCCCTGCCGCCGAAGGGAAGGGGCGGGAGGCCTGTCCTTCCTCTAAGCCTCCCTGTCCAAGGGTGGCCAGCAGTGGGATGGCAGAAGCAGTGGCTGAGATTCTGTGGCCACAGTCCACGTGGGGACGCTGACAAGGGTTCTCTCCAGGTCTGCTCTGTACTGATCCAGGAGAAGCCGCTCTTCAAGCTTGTGTGAGGTCACAGTTGTCACACAAGCCAAAGTTCTCTTCTGAGAGCAGGGTGCTGAGGGAGGGCTTGCAGCACAGAGCGCAGGCAGCGAATGAGCCTCATGACGTATGTGGATCGTATGTTTTAACTTGTGCTCTTCTCCATGGCTCATGGTCTGGTTAGGAGTTTCGTGTCCTTAAATTTTTATGTAACTTATTTTTTTAAAAACTGGTTATTCTTTTGACCAGAATGTGAGAATAGCAAGATTCTTCTAAGCTCGGTGCTGACTTCTAAGCTGGTGGCTACACAGTAATGGAGAGGCTCCGAGATGGGAGAGACATAGGACGTGGGGGTGATGTGCGTCCCCTGAAAGGGGGTGGGTTCGGCACTCCCTCTGTAAAGGGGGCGTCAGGGTGTGTCCTGACCGCGGTTTGTGCCCTCACCTGCGGGCCGTTCTCCTCACCAAGCCTGTTCACACACAGGTAAAGGATGCTGCCAGTGGATCCAGTAGGTGGGAGCTGCGGAAATACTGCTTTTGCAGCACAAACTATTTCAGTTCAGAGATGATACATTCTGCTTTATTCCAGAACAAGCGTCAGCAAACTACAGCCCTTGGACTGGCTACTTGTTTTCGTGAATAAAGTTTTATTGGGACACAGCCCATGCCCATTCATTTACATATTATCTGTGTCTGATTTCAATTTGAAGACAGAACTGAATGGATGCCATAGGGACCATATGGCCCTCTAGCCTACAATACTTTTTATATGGTTCTTTAAAACTTCGCCGACTTTTATTCCAAAGTAGAGATGGCAGGAAGAGAGCAGGTGTCCCTGCTAGGCAGCACCAGCCACAAAAGCAGCCAGTCCCCGTACACAAGTTATTTAATCCAGGCTGTTTCCTTCTTCTGAGCCTCCATCAAGCTACCAGCGGAGAGCTTAGAGTGATTTTTTAAAGTGTCAGATTGAATGAAAGCACTGGTGGTTAAGAATATATGCCTGTTTATATTGGAGCTGGGGTTGGGTGGGAAAGCTTTTCCGCAGTGATGCCTTCGAGAGTTTGGGAAGCCCTAACTCTTGAAAGTATCCAGGTTATTAAAAATGTTTCTTTCATCTGTAGAAGTCTAGTGATGAATGTGATGAACATGATGGGGTCTGCGTGAGGAAGTGGGGGGCAGAGCTGGGGCGGCCTCCTGTGGAGGGTGCTGGCCGAAGGCTGGTCACCAGGCAAGTTGCAGAGGAGCAGGGACTTGCAGAGTGGCTTGTGGGTGACACAGGTTTCATAGATAATCTCATTTAATTGTTAAAGCAATTCTATAAAATGTTTATTATCTCTGTTTTAACGGAGAAAATGCAACTTTTGGTTGAAGTTAAAGAGAACCAGGGTTTAAATCCAGTCTTCTGGTTCTAAGTTAAGGACCTTCTCGGCTGCCTTCCTAAGACGAGAAGGGCTGTGAGGTGTCCCAGGGTGAGGCTCTGAGGCTCCGACAATCCCGAGCTGAGAGTGGTAAGCATGGATTACAAGGGGCAGGGGGCAGTCAGCTGAGGTGAGGGGGAGCTTTCTGGGGGGCAGAGAGCTGGCACAGAGGTGAGCGGGGAGGGCTGCAGGGAAGGAGCCAGGCTGGTCTGCGACCTGCCGGAAGGAGGCTGCCTCGGCTGTTTATGCTGCTGCGATACTTGCACGTCATTGTTCCCTAGAGTCACATTTCACAGAGAAGTTCAGAGGAGGGTTTGTTTCTAAATGAGAAAAAGGTAGACACATGCGGAATCCTGTCTCAGGTATTTACTGCTGGTTAAAATAAACTCCCTCTGAATTTACTTAACAAACTTCGTGAAAGTAGTTCTGACCTTCAGCCCCAGCCTCACCCCACACTTGTATTTACTGAAGTCACGTGTCTGCTTTGTGATTGCGGACGTTTACACCCGAGGAGGACAGACTGGTGTCAGGACACCAGTGTAGGTCAGACTCCCTGGGAAGTGGGATGGGGCGCACCACTTTGGCGGCCCCCTGCTGGCGTTGTGAAGTGATATCACCAGCATTGGCGCCAAACAGGGTTCCTTGGGTGCGCACCTCAGGGGTCGAGCAGAGAGGGGATGACTGGTGGATGTGTGTCAGGGGGATAGTTCCAGAGGAACCTGTGGTGGCCATGGGGTCTTTGCGCCTCTGGTTGACAGAGGTTAGTAGAATTATTCAGACCATGTGTCTGGGCCTGGTTTGTCCTTGACTGCCATGTCTGGGACTGTTCACACCGGGGCTGGTCACTCCTGTGAAGGTTGCACACCTCGCCACCCCCTCGCTCTCGCCCTCTGGAGAAACCACTGCATTTCCTCAAAGTGTTCTGCCCGCCCCTGTTAAATCAAAATGGAGAGCTCCACTGGGGAAGCAAAAGCAAGAACAGGTCTCTTCTTTCTACCTCCAGTGCCTAAGGAACGAACAGGGGCTGCATTGATGGCCAGCGGTAGGTCCTCTAGTCCTTGCTGACTGAATGTTCGGGTTTCTGCTCGCAAACCGAAGTGGATCCTGAAAGGGTGCCCATGGGTCTCTCCTAAAGATTAAGTCAGTGTTTTCAAGTAGCTCCTTAGCCTCTAAGCTGCGACTTCAACTCTGAAGTGCTGGCTCGCCGTGGGGGTGACCTTCCACTGAGTACGGCGTTTCTTCCAAAGCGCACACAGTGCTTCGTGTACGTGGACTCTGCCGTGTTTGTGGGGTGGCAGAGGGGAAAGGGAGATAGAAGCTGGTATCTGAGTCCCGCGGGAGGCTGGTTCTACGACTCAGTAAACCGTGCGACCTTAGGTCAACTTCCCTATACTCAGAGGTGGTGGTGATAAGAAACCAACAAGACACGTTTCAAGTCTGAAAAAGGTCACGCCAGTGGACGGCACTGTTCAGCCTGTAAGGGCCTTCTCATTGGGCTGAGCCACAGTTACCACTTGATAGAACTTAATGCAGGAGTGTCAGACTCATTTTCACCGGGGGCCACAACAGCCTCGTGGTGGCCTTCAAAGGGCCAAATGTAGAGCTCCTTGCCCCTAGGTAAGGAATAGTTACATTTACACAGTCCTAAAATTAGATTCAGCCCTTTGAAGGCCACCTCGAGGCTGATGTGGCCCCCAGTGGACATGAGTTTGACATCCCTGACTTAAGGTGTTTCACTCTTTGAGAACGCTCTAACTGCTTTTGTGCCCGGGAACTGCTCTTCCAATGGCAATGGGCCGCTCCCTGCTCGTCCTCCCTCCTCGGTCTCATGGCGGTTGTACTTACCCCCATGGCACCAGTCCCCCTGTGTGTCACTGCTTGCATCTCTCTCCCACAAGACTGTGAATTCCTTGCTGGACACACACTTCTTAATCCGCACAACCATGTCAGTGCTGGTGCAGAGTAGCTGCTTAATAAGTTGAAGGAGTTAAAAGGAAAAAAAGAACCAGAACCGAGACTAGAGTGACAAGACTTGTATTACCAGTTCAAACTTTGCGTTCTTTGGAGGATTCTTACCCTTTGCGTTTAGCTGTAAAGTCAGGGCCTTCCACAACCTGCCAGTTCTCTCTCTCTCCCTCATTATACAGGTTTCCTGTCAGCATTCTCTTAGGAGGAGTCAGAACACCTGAGCCCAGCTCCCTGCTGGGCCACCAACTAACTTCCCGATTTAAAAAATAAAAATCACCTTTGGCCTGTCACTTATCAGCAGTGGTATTACAGTTCTCTGAAGTTTATAATTAGAAGATATTTAGCAAGTAATGTTTAACACACCAAAGCTTGTGAATTATTACTTTTAAAAAAATACACGTTAGAATTGCATCTGTGAAATAAAGGCACTGTCATTCACTTACTTTCTAATACGAAAGTACCTATTTCTTGGGAGGAAAAGGGATATGTTATCGAAAGCAGCGAGTTTTGCTGGATTCATACCATCCGTGAGGCTGCTTCCTGTCCTGCAGCTTTAAGGGTCTCTGATTTCTCTTCGCTCTGAGCCACAGAGAAAGCTTGCTTCATTTCTCTTTATGGAGGGCACCACGCCCACACAGACTAGCCAGTTAAATGAGCAGGTGCAGGTGTGGAGAGGCGTAAGTGCAGACCAGCGTGAGCATTGCAGCAGAGGGGATGCACGGCTCCTGGGGCACTCTCACTGTTTCTGCTCAAAGAGACTTGTCCACCCCATTTATGACCGATGGCCTCTTCTCAGTCCTCATCTGAGCCACTCAGGAGGGCCTTCTGGGCAGTGGGGTCTGACTTCAGCTGCTGAATCCCAATGATTTCTCCTTCCCTGTGCCTCTTTAGCCGAGTCAAAAGGCTGTAGGAGAGAGACAGGGAGACAAGTGAGCCCCCATACTCCCTCCTTGTTCACCCAAGAATGTGAGGGCATCTGATTGTTCTTAAAGCATTTCCTTTATATCTCTATCAAATACGAGATTGCATATCTGACTTCTCAGCAATTGTTGGTAGATAAAGACGCCATGATTTAATACTTAATAGTTAATGTTGTAACTGAGACTAAACTTAGGTCTCCCATATCCTTTTTTATTATTTTACTGACCAGGCAGTAGAACTAAAAGGAACTGTGACCTTGAGTTGCCTCTGTGGAGCCCTTTCTGGGTGGAGTGTGTCTGCTTTGAGTAGGGAAATCTGGAGCCAGGGAAAAAGGTGGGGCAGCCACAGCACAGCAGAACTACCGCCACCATGCACCACAAGTCACTCTCGCCCTGCGGTGAAAGACTGGGGCTGTGCTGTTTACTCGTTGGGTGACCTTGACCAAGTTAGTCTTTTGAAGTCTTGGTCTTCCCATCTGTAGAACGTGACAGTGCATATTTCATTCATAAAGTGATACAGGTTAAGCTGGGTAATGCACCAAAGGGACAAACTAAGTGCATAGGAATTACAGTATTATCTCTGAAGAGTGCTTTAGAGAGCACTTGCCACTTGTGCTGTCTCATTGTCACGAGGTCTTGGGGACAGGAATCCGTGATGGGCTCGGGGTGAACAGGGGACAGAGCAGGCACTGCAGTCTGGGGCTGATGCCCAGTTCTGGGTGTTTCCTTCACATGCCCAGCCTGCAGCCCGTCAGAACTGCCTCTGCAGCCTGGTTGTCCCACAGGTTCCTGTACCAGTCGGGGCTTTGACCTTCCTACAGCCTTGCCACCCTCACTTGTAGGTGTGCAGTTCCTTACACAGAACTTGGCACTTAGTTGGTACCAAAGTGGCAGAAGTTACTACTCAGCTACGAAAGGGGTGCCCCTGGAAATAACTGTGGTACAGTGTGACACACTTCAGGGGCAGAGGGTTGGTGGGGATGGGGAGATTGGACACAGGTCATCTCGTGGACATACCAGTAGATGAGAGAGTAGTTGACGGCCACAATGCAGAGGGCAGCCAGGTAGTGCCAGCAGAAGCACATGGTGATGAACATGAGGTTTGAGTGGTCATTCTGGTCCCATTCTTGTGTTCCAAAGGGCGGAAACAGCACAAACCCAATCTGGTGGATTATACAGAGAAGTCAGCCCTGCTGTTGATGCTTCCCTCCTGGGGTCACCAGACCGGATGTTCCCCTGCACCTCATTTCCCATACCTGTGTTAGCACAGAAAGATCTTTTTGCACAGGAAAATGGAGAGGTTAACTCTGGTTATCGGAGAGGCTTACTGCAAACCAAACCTCAGGCGGACAGGTGAGCAGGAGGACCTGTGGACGGTGTCAGTGCCTCCGGTACTGGGCTGGGCAGGTGGGCAACATGCACCCTGCTCACTGCGTGTGCCGCACAGATCGGGCTCATTAGCGTGGCATCCGCAGGGCATTTGTGGAGGAAGTTACATAGGGCCAGGGGCAGGCAAGGTAAGGAATGTGGCCTTCTAAGCCCACCCACGTGGCGTGTTAGTGCTGCATCCTCAGGACTTCACCTGGACACGCTCAGTGGGGGCCCTCAACCCAAACAGCGTTAAGACAATTACCTGCCAGAACCAGGTGCCTTGAAGGATAGTGAGGGAGGTTCGGAAAAGTTCCAGCACAATGTTGTCCCGAAGAATCACCTCCAAGAAGATGCTGAGAGCCCCTCCGAACACGGCGCACAGCAGGAGGGAGTGGATGTACTGGTCCAGGGGCGGCCGGTTGTGGACGTGGTGGTAAAAGAGAAAACCTGCCACGAAGCCACCAGTTATGGCCGTCAGCGTTGCCTGTTTCTGCGGCAGAGCGTGCGTTCCGGACTTGCTCCGTTACTAGAATCTCTCAAAGCCAGGTTTCTCAGTACTTGGAAAGTGAGTTTATATAATGTTACAGGACAACCAATAGGCAGATGAAACATTGTGTGTGTAAAGTGGGTGAAAGCAGCAAAGGATACAGCTTTAAATCTCTATAGAATCTGTGGCAGGGTTCAATACAGGATGGGTAAGTGAAATGCTGCTGATTTACAACAAATTGTGTGTGTGTGTACTTGAAATTCAGTTTTGCCCTCATTCACCTTGTTTTCAACTCTTCCTGAGCTACAGACGTAACTGAAGTTATTGGATTACATAATGCTTTTTGCCCTGGCTGGTGTGGCTCAGTGGATGGAGTGCCGGCCTGCAAACTGAAAGATCACTGGTTCATTTCCTAGTCAGGGCACTTGCCTGGGTTGTGGGTGGGGTCCCCAGTTGGGGGTGTGTGAGAGGCAACCACACACTGATGTTTCTCATATTTATGTGTTTCTCACATCTATGTTTCTCCTCCTCACTTTCCCATCTCTTTAAAAATAAATAAATCTTTAAAAAATAAAATGTAACCATGTCTTTTCTAAAAAATGCTTTTTTATGACCCATTTAATATGAATTCTAAAAGGAGATCTGTCCTGGCCTCTGGGTGAGTCTCCTATCGGTGATGGAGTCCAGACTGCAGTACTGTGGGGTCAGGGTGGAGTGGGGAGTTTCTCTTCCCAAGCCACAGGGAGTCACACTCTTGCATGGTGGCATCCACCCAGTCTCTGGAAAGTTGTGTGTTTCTGTGTAGATGTGCGCACAAGAACTTGCTGTGCGTCAGTGGGGGAGGGTGTGGGCTGAGGGAGGGCAGGGAGAGTTTGTGCACTGTTAGCCGGTGGCTTTGCCTAAAAGCCTTGTGCTTTCATGTGCTGCTTTATGGAGTATGTTGCCTATACCATCCAGAGCATAGGGCCGAGCCTGCCCAAGTTGAAGGTCAGATTTGCATTTTTCCAGGGCAGGTTAGTATATTTGCAATAGTTCGGCCGACTGTGGCCCAAGCCCTCATAATCACAACCTGTCAGTTTCTTCCTTTTCCCCTCCTTACCGCTAATTACCTTCATTGAATGTTGCCACAGCCATGACCAGTCTGTCGAGCCCCAAGGGAATGTGGCTGAAGAGATAGGTGAGCATGTCGGTGAGTCCCGAGACCGCAAAGAATAGGTACATGGTGCTGTGTTGCCAATTCATCAGCTTTATCCACTGGCTGTCCGAGTACAGGTGGAGGTGGGGCCCATCTGGAACAAACTGTTCTGCCAGGATCCCTGCAGGAAAATGAGAATGGAAATTGAGGAGGGAAGAGGAGTTCCAAGACAAACACGTGATCTCAAAAAATAACCCCAAGTCACGAATGAAGCCAGGATGTGGGTGAAGGTGGCCAGTGGTCCGCTGGACCCACTCGGCTGCTTCAGTACAAGGGTATTTCCTGAGCAACCTGTGTAGCCTTTGTTGTTGTTCCCTTGGATGGGGATCCATGGGGAGAGGGGGAGAAGCAATAGAAATATAGCCACACAGGTTCACAGGACGCCTGTCCAATAGCTGAAATGACAGTAAGGCATTGTCACTGAAGGGCGAGTGTGGCAGATAACTTCATCTTGGGGCCCCCTCCACCCAGTGAGCAGTGAGAGGAACCCTAGAAGGCAACCATTAGGTTGAAAGCGACAGGGTCTGAGCCAACGGGGGTGGGGGGTGAGGACCCCTGGGTACACCTGAGGGAGGGAAGAAGCTCCCAGGTGTCTCTGTCGGGGCAGATGTCCTGTGAGCGCTCTTCCCAGGCACCGCCTGGGCTCTGGGCTTGGCTCTTCCTATAGCTTTGGGTCTCGGTGCCCTAAGTACTTGATCTTGGCATTTCTGACCACACTGCATCTTAGGAGAGGCCAACTTTAGCAACTGGGACCAGAAGGTGTGCCACAGCGGTGGTCTCAGTTTTTGCTGCTTCTCCTGTCACCTGCTTTGGCAGGCAGGTGTGCCTCTCTATGCGTGATGCCCAAAATGTTCACGGGGCCTACATAAATCCCCCATGGCAGCATCTTGGCCCCTGTTCCCCAGACACTTCCCCTCAGACCCGGCCCCTCTCTGAATCTATGTGTGAAGGGTCGAGTTGGGGAAAACAACCAGGGAAGGGAGGCCCCGGTGACACTAGAATGGAAGGCCCGTGAGAGCAGAGGCTGTTTAGCTCCTCACTGTAGCCTCAGCATCCACGCCAGGGAGTGCCTGGCACATGGTGGGAATCCAAGACGTGATTGGTGGATGAGGATTACTTTCACCCCAATGCAATGCTTCCTGCTTTACTTAGGCCAGGTTGGTGCTGCCTGTTCCACTTCTGCCATATGGTCCCCGTCGCTTCTCAGCTCCAGAAAGGTGAGAAAGCCTTTCTGAGGCCTGCATGGCTGGTGAATGGGGAAATCCAGCCGGACCAGGCAAACCAAGCTGTGTACCTTTGCTAATTCCAAGAGAAGCTACTGTTACTGCTTCAGCTCCTCCCAGGGAACTGTAGGCCAGAGATGGTGAGTGACAAATGCACGTACAGAGTAAGACCCCACTGGTGCCAGTCATTCCTCGAGGACCACGGGTAGAGGGAACGGACGACAAGTGGAAGTGGGTGGGTTTTGTGGGCATGGGGCAGAGTGGAGGAAGACGCCTCCCCAGCGGCCCTCTGGGGGCTTCCCGGTTTCTTCCACCGTCTCTCTCACTGGCCTTGCGGCATGAACTCCCCTCTCCATACCTGCTTGAGATTTGGGGAGGGAGGATATACCCATGAGTAGGGTGTTCACTCTTGAGATTCTAGTGGAGAGATAGCTGGGGAAAAAAGGATGGATTTTCCTAAAACTAAACTTCATTTAGTACTTTCTCATAACGGATGTACATGAGTTTATTCTTTTTATTTTCTGTTTTGTCTTTTTTATAAAGTATGTCTTCTGTCCTACATCCTATACCCACGTCCTCCTAGGGCCAAGACCGCAGTTTGTCTGGTAGTTTTCCACGGTGCGCTAAGATGTAATGTGCTGTTAACTGTTAACATTACAGAGCTCAGCACACAACTGAAAATCCTTTTTCTCTCATCTCCACCAGTGGGAACATCCATTTCACAGGGCCCAGAAAACGGGTTGCAGGTTCTGGGTATGATGGGGAGACCCCCTGGACCAGGTGGCCCCCGTTCTTACCAATGACTGGAAATAAAGTTCTGATCGCAGCCTCAATGATCTCAAGGCGCTGGTAATGACGCGTCAGCAGGGTCCTCTTCCCCTTTTGATGAAAATATTTCAGGGGGTACTTCACTGACCACCACAGCCCAACTATCAGGAAGAGACTCCCTGGGAGAGCGTGGCCCTTGAAGTTTGCCATCGCGGCTCTAGGATGCCTGAAAAAGAGGGGAAGCTGTTAGGCGGCCGATTGAAGAAGGCGGATGGATATCATGGCAGGGAATGCGATGCACGACTGAGGATTCCACATCAGAAACCGTCGGAGAAGGTTGTGCTCGTTCTCATGAAACAGGGAGATGCTGGGTCACTGCAGGCTTCTCTGCAGAGTCGATGCCAAGTGGATGCCGCTGCCCTGAGGCTTTAAAAACGTGTGCAAATAAAAGGGGGAAAAACCGGAGGATCGGTAAATAGTGATGTCAGGGTAGAAAAGGCTTTGTAAACATAAAAGAGGGAACTAGAAAACATATTCACTGACACTGGCATTTTCTAGATCAAAAACATCAGAAAGCAAACCAGCAATGTCTCGACCAGTGGGTATTTGTGTTGAGAAGTAGAGCTGGTGCCTTGGAATAATATGCAGACTCTGACCTAGTGAGTGAGAAGGAACTAGCAACCCACACAGTTGGCAGGGAGCTCCCTTGGCATCCAAGCTCCCACCCTGAGGAAGTGAAAACTCTGGGCTGTTTTGATGGAAGGCACAGTTTCAGTACTTTCACACAAACGCAGTAGCATCACAGGCTCGTTACTTCAGACAGATCCCAGAAGCAGGGATGGGGTTGGGGAGGGGCGGTGAGCTGGCAAGGGCAGCCTTCCATCCCAGATCTCGGGGAGCAGGGGGAGCAAGCACCTATTACCTTTAAGGTGGTGGGGTGGAGATCACAAATTTTTGAGAGCCTGACTCTTAAGTGGCTATTTTAAAAGGCAGCCTGGGAAAAGCAAAGCCAGAATTTGGGGTGGGAAGTCTAAGTTCAAGGCCTGGTCTAAATGTCCAGACGTGGTGTGAGCAGGGCAGTAATCCGGTAAAATGCGTAGGCAGCAATATTCTCTTAGAGAGCCTTTACCGATTAGTGAGGAAGAAGACCGCAGAAGAAAGAGCAAAGACATGAACACAATTCACAAATGCTGCACACTGATGATAAATCTCACTGTGATTGAAGACATGCAAAGGAATGTGCAGTCTCATTTTCACCTAATTGGAATATATTTTAAAAAGTTAGATGTAGCTCTAGTATAAATGAACATGGCCAATATGATTCAACTTCAGTCAAACTCAAAATGGTTTCTTTTACCCTATTTACAGTAGCAAGGCTATGGGATCCCAATTATGAGTGTTATCTAGACTCCATTCAGAAGGAAAATGATCGCTTTTGCCCCATGGCCTGGGTGGGGCTGCACAGAAATGCAGGGTGGGAGGGAAACAGCAGGTGATGGCGATCTGGAAACCACCACTCAGGAAGAGAGCGAACCGGTGCTCCTCACAGCCTGCGCCAGCCCTGGCCACCGGGGCGCCCGTCCTCTGGCACCGGCTCCCGGCCAGGGCTGCTCTGTGTCTGATCCATTTACAGTTGCGGTATCTGCCCTTCATCAAGAACTTTCACAAGCTTTCAAAAAAATGCTTAGAGTTCTTAAAATGTCAAATAGCATTTGAAGGTTTACAATGAGAAGCAGCAGCCCCACGCTCCCTCCCTCCTCACCCCCCAGGGAAACCCCTTTACACTCTTTCTGCTGCTTTTCTCTGGTAATTACCTCTGTAATTCTAGGTCATTTGTGTGTGCCTTGCCATCTGTTAATTTACTGTCGTCAGGCACTCTCTCTCAACTTCCTGTCGCCGTTTACCACCTCTCCCTTCACCGCGGTTACAACATACGCATTTACCGAGATCATTAGTTTCATTATCACTGCTGTATAAATCCAAAATCCTTACCAGGACCCACACAGCCCTGTGATCTCTCCCTGATCCCCCCACCCACCTATCCCTTTGACATGGGCCCCTCGGTGGCTCCGACAAGTGCCATCCACTCCTGCTTCAGGGCCCAGCACCATCTGTTCTTCCCAGGACAGTTTTCCTTCACTTGGGTCTCAGCTCAAATGGTTCTTTGGTCTCTGGCTACCTCATGGCAAATAGCAGATGTGTCCCCTAAAAGTCCTCTGTGCTCTCCCATTCACCCCTCCCCCACCTTCTCCCTAGCAACCACCGACCTTTTTATTGTCTCCATCGTTTGGAGAGACACTTGGAACCATACACTACACAGACTCTTCAGATTGGTTCATCTCTCAGTAATATGCATTTAAGCTTCCTCCATGTTTTTTTGTTTTTTTTTGATGGCTTGATAGCTTATTTAATTTTAGTACCAAATAATATTCTGTGGCCTGGATATGCCACTGTTCATTAATCCATTCACTTACTGAAGGACATCTTGGTCACTTCCAAAAACTGGCAATTATGAATAAAGCTGTTACAAAGATCCGTGTGCGGGTTTTTGTGTGGATATGAGTGTTTATCTCTGTTGGGTAAATACCAAGGACTGAGGTTGCTGGATCACATGGCAAGAATATGTTTTGTAGAAACCGCCAAATTGTCTTCCAAAGTGGCTGTACTGTTTTGCATTCCCATCAGTGGGGGTGAAAAGGGGCCGCCTATTAACCTGACAAGCTCAGGGGAGGCCTGCGAGACAGCCTTGCAGACTCAGAGACCGCAAGTAACCACCGCAAAGGATGGGCTGAAATGGAAAGTTATTAACTAAAAGCAATTCCTGGCAGGCAGTCATGTCCTAGACTGGAATTTTCCCTGACAAAGGTCAATCTTTACCTTAACTGAGCCTATTCTTTTATCTTTTTGCATCTATGGTAACATGTCTTTGGAATGTCAAGGTGAAGTTCCTTTTTCTGAACCCCTCGGGTACAACTGATTCACCAGAGCTGATACCACAGACCCCTCGTTGTCATTGTTATCATGCTAATTGTTGACTGTGAACTATCCTGTACCCACCTCTGTGAAAAAAGAATGTGTCTTAATGATTTTACCTTTTATCCAGTCCCAGACATGACCCCCTGCCCCCCCCACCGCCACTTTGCTTTCACGGCCTCCCTAACCTACCACCAATGGACTTCACATAACCCCCTTTCGTCTCCTCCTTTGATTGTAATGTATCGAATGAGGTGCTAAACTGCCCTTCTCCAGAGCATCATCTCAAGTGGTTGAGGTTTTGCTTCCCAGAAATTGTTGTCACTTTGGCTCAAATAATCTCACAAAAATTCTCTGTAGGTTCTGATGTCTCTCACATCGACGTTAGCTGTGCATCCGAGTTCCCGTTGCCCCACATTCTCACCACCGTTCCATGTTGTCAGTGTTCGGGATTTTGGCCTTTCTAATAGGTGTGTAGTGGTATCTCACTGTTCTAATTTGCATTTCCCTAGTGACACAGGATGTGGAGCATCTCGTCATGCTTATACTTGTATATCTTCTCTGGTAAAGTGTTAAGGTCTTTAGCCATTTTTAAATCAGATTATTTTCTTATGAAATTTTAAGAGGGCTTTGTTTATTTTGGATAACAATCTTCTATCAGATGTGTCTTTTGTAAATATTTTCTATTGGTCTGTGGCTTGTCTTCTAATTTTCTTTTTAAGATTTTATTTGTTTATTTCTAGAGAGGGGAAGGGAGGGAGAGAAACGTCAATGTGTGAGAGATACATCAGTCGGTTGCCTCTTGCACACCACCCAAATGGGGACCTGGCCCACAACCCAGGCATGTGCCCTGACTGGGAATTGAACTGTCTACCCTTTGGTTTGCAGGCCAGCACTCAGTCCACTGAGCCACACCAGCCAGGGCTGTCTTCTAATTTTCTTGAGTTTTTGTCTTTTGCCAAGCAGAAAATTTAATTTTAAGTAAGTGCGGTGACTTATTTTTCTTTTTTCATGGATCATGTCTTTGGTGTTTTAGTTAAAAAGGTATCACCATACCTAAGTGCACCTAGGTTTTCTATGTTCTCTTCTAGAAGTTTTGTAGTTTTGCATACTACATTTAAATGAATGGTCCATTTTGAGTTAATTCTTGTGGTCAGCATAAAAAATTTCCTCTCAAGGTCAGGCCTGTCACACGCCTTTGTTTTTCTAGCCATAAGTGCAGAAAAACCAGCTTTGCAAACCCTCTGTGCCCATGCCCTTCCCCATTTTTCTGAGGGCTTCCCGAAACACAGGCAGCATCCTTATCTGCCTCTATGTCCACACCTGGCCCCACCCTTCCCTCTTACCTGAGTTGAAATTCACATCCGTAGGGCCTGCATCTCGTCTGTCAGAGCTACTTTTGAATTTACTTATGCTGCTTGGGGGCCGAGTACCTTGACCTCACAGGCGAGAGGAGTGAGGGAGGGAGATTTCTCCATAATAAATTATCAGCTTCGTTTATTAGATTGGCTACGTTATACAACATGTGGTAAAGATGTTAGGATAGGTTATAGGATAGGTCAGTTTTTATGAGGAGGCACAAAGCAATAACTAACCTCAAATGAACAATAAAAATTCAGACTTTGGCCCTGGGTGGGCCGCTCAGCTGGGTAGAGCATTGCCCTGACACGCCCAGGTTGTGGGTTTGATCCCCGGTCAGGGCACGTGAAAGAATCAGCCGGTGAATGAACCAATGGGTGTAACAGCAAATCAGTGTATCTCTCTCTCTAAAAAACAGTAAATTAAAAAATTTAGACTTCTAACAATTTGGATAACAACATTCAAATAGGCTAAGTCCTTGAGAACTCTAGCTTTAAAAAGTAACTTAAAAGCATGAAAAAAGCAAACGCTGAAGGAATGAGCACCCCAGCGTACACAGAACGGGGTGGGCATTACACTGTTAAAAACATTATTCCAAGGAAAACCCACAGGTAGGAAAACATTAGAAGGCGCCTCCACAGAGACAAATCTCCTTTTAAATTTTAACACATTTACTCCTTTTTGATATCACATGAGACGGAATGCGGGTATGAAGGGAGGGTTGAGTATTTTGGAGAGGTAGTAGCTTTAAGTTAAAGCTGGCAACCAAGAAGGCTAGCAATTTGGTCAGATTTTCATTTCATGTCTAAAGAGACCTCTAGGAAAGGATCATAACTTGAGTAAGATATTCAGCGTGCTTTTCCTTGTATTCCTTGTTTTCAATCATTTCCCCTACCTACATTCTCTGATCAATGTTTCCCTTACACATGGCGTTTCTCTCTCTCTATTCCTCTCTCTCTGAAATCAATAAGTATGTCCTCAGGTGAGCATTAAAAAAGTCTTCAAAGAGAAGTAGAGAGAGGAAATGGTGCAGAGGAGAGGAGAAATTATGGTTGATGCCATTTGTCTGGAGTTAAAAACAAAACTTCATATGGCACCTTTTGTTTTAACAAAGCCCATATTTTCCTGTACTTTGGATGGGGAGAGTAGGAATTGTGAAGGAAGGGATGTATCTAGATGAGTGGGAAAATCAAAAAGAAGCAGCCAGAGAAGTGATTTTGTTTTCTGCCTACGTTTAGCAACTGGCACTCTCTAACATGGGGAGAAGTGAGGACTCAGCTTTCATAGCAGGGCAAGAGTTAAAGCCAGTTTCTCCCAATCTGCGATGACAGCATCCACAATGTATGGGACTACCAAATCACACAGACAACCCGGGCTCTACTGAGGCCCAGTCATGCCTCTGATTTAGTGAATTATGGTTTGTCTCCGCCATGAGGTATTATGTACCCGTTTTAAAAAGTGAGTTAGAGTGTACCAGCTGTTCTGGAAGGCTTTCCACGGGTAGTGTTGGCTGAGACAAGCAAGATGGAAACCACCTCGTACAATACGACCCCATTTTGTGCGGCAGTGATGACGTCCTGCTTTTATATATACATACGAATGTGGGTATCGATTATATATATGAACAGGGAGGGAAAGCAGTATGAAGAGTACTTGGAGAGCACTTCGTGCTGTTCATTAAACATTTCTGGTGCTCTGTCTTCTAGGCAGGTGTTTTGACCGCGTTGAGTGGCCCTCTTGTGATTGGCTGGGGTCTCGTGAGTTGTGAGCAAGAGTGACTTGTTATTTCCCGGCTGAAACACACAAATGCCAGCTCAAGACCCGCCCCCCCCCCCCCCCCCCAGAACACACCTCCCTCTGCCACGTCCTTATCAGTGGTCTTTACGGTAGCTCCTCCGTCAGCCCAGATCCCAGAGTGCGGTGATGCGGAGCAGAGCTCCCCCCAGCGAGTCAGGGAGAACACGGAGCGTGGGAGGAACGAACAGTTGAGTCGAGGGCTCTTTCCGCTCAGCACAACCTAATGTGCTCCGAAGGAAACAGAAATAAACTTGGTCAACACATTCCAGCTGGGACACTCAGGCTTCTGTAGTGTGTGTGTGTGTGTTTTTAAGTATGAAAAGCCTGATTAAATCCAAAGAAGGAGTTGGGTGCCTGATATGGTAGAAATTGTACCAAAAAAATGCCAAAGACAATTTTGGCAAATCCTCTCTGGAACTGCCCTGACTGCCTGTTTTTCTACTCGACATCAAATCCATACATCTTTGAAAGGGTGCTCGGGTTCTGGCACTGCCGTCCTCCTGCCCTGTCTGATGGCACAGCCTGAGGAAAATTCAGGCAACTGCTGCGTCACATCGCAAGGTTCGCCTGCAGGTCCACTGCTCTTCAGCGGTTCTCAACAGGGTCATTTGGAAGTCTTTTGGGTTGTCACAGTTGGGGGTGGAGGTGCAGTCACTGGCACCAGGTGGGTCAAGAGCACGGTGTTGCCAGCCATCACGCACAGGACAGTCCTCACAACAGAGAATTCTCTGGGCCCAGATCTTTATTTGTTTATTTTTAACTTTTTTATCTTCATCTGAGGACATTTTTTTTTTCATTGCTTTCAGAAAGAGAGGAAGGGGGAGAGAGAGAAATATCAATATGAGAGAGAAACACAGACTGGCTGCCTTCTCCTACGCACCCCTCCAAGTCTGGGGATCAAACCCACAACCTGTGCCCTGACTGGGAATTGAACCCGTGATATTCCAACCAACTGAGCCACATGGGCCAGGGCTGCAGCCCCAAACCTTAACAATGCTGAGGCTGTGAGACGCTGCTCTATTCCGGACCAGCTTCCTACCCTCCCTTTCTCCTGCAGGAAGCAGAGACCAGGCTGCCTTCCTTTTCTTGTTATTTATTTACGTCACTGTTTATTCTCGGAGTGTTCTCCCTTCAAAACTGTGTGTGGAGAGTAAGCCTGCTTCCCTACAGTTTTCTTCTTTGTTTTCCATATCCTTTTTTTTAAAATAACAGCTTTATTGAGATGTAATTCACATATCATACAAGTTATGTAAAGTGTAAAATTCAGTGTTTTTGAGTGTATTCCCTGAGCTGTGCAGCCGTCACTGTAAGCCCATGTTAGAACACTCTCATCGCCTGAAGCAGAGTACCCTGGCTGGTTAGGCGCTCTCCGTTTCCCCAGTCCTCCTCCCGCCCCCTCGGAGCCCTGGGCAAATGCTAATCTACTTTATATCTCTCTGGAGTTGCCTATTCTGGACACTGCATGTAAATTGAATCCTACAGTGTGTGGTCTGTTGTGACTAGCTTCTTTCCCCCGGGGTGTTGTCAAGTTCCCATGTCGTAGCGTGCACCACCAACCCATTCCTTTTCACGGCTGACTCTTCCTTGTAGGGATGTACCCTACTTACTGGTTTGCTAGGGCTGCTGTAATAAACCACCCCAGACGGGTGGCTTAAAAACAGAAGTATTTTCTCAGTCTGGAGGCCGGAGGTCTGAGGTCAAGGTGTCAGCAGGTTAAGTTTCTTCTGAGGCCCCTCTCCCTGGCTTGCTGAGGGCCGTCTTCTCCCTGTGTCTTCATGTCACTGTTCCTTTGCCTGCGCCTGTGACCTCTTGTCACCAGGACACCTGCCCTGTTGGGTTAGAACCCTCCCTAGTGACCCACCTCATTGTCACTTAATCACCTCTTTGAAGACTTTATCTTCAAACAATAGAGTCACATCCTGAGGCAAGGACGTTGGGGCTTCCACGTATAATCTCGAGGGGGGAGGGACATAATTCAACCCGTAACACCAGCTTGTGTTCATCCAGTCGTCAATTACCTGACATTTTTATACACTTTTATTGATTTGATTACTAAGTCACTCCAAAAGACAACTGGCAGGTGTATCTGAAAAGATACTTTAAAGGTTTCAACAACCTTATTAACTATAATTTTCGTTCCTGGGACAGCTTTTTTAAATGTGCCTGAAAGACACACTCAGGTGGTTTTAAAATATTTTCACAGAGTGCACAGAGTGTTACAATAAAGGGAGGGCTGATTCAGCTTGGGGAAAACAGGAGAGAGATTATAGAGGGATGAGCCACTGAAGCTTCCTTGAAACAGGAGCCCACATCCGCAGTGGGCGGAGCTCCGGGCAGGGCAACCTGTACGTGTGGAACCTGACTCTGTTGGAGCCAGTCACCCCTGTGCTCAGAGCTGAGCTAGATGATGGTGCTTAGTCCCTGTACCCTGACATTCCCAGCTTCTTTCCCAAGATGTCATTCTCCACTGGGGCGGACTGCATTAAACCCCGAGGCAGTCTTACACTGGGAATGAACAAAACAGTATCCTTAAAACTCAAATCAACCAGACACGGTGGTCCCACATGCTGGAGAGTCTCTGGGAAGGGATTAAACCAACTCACAAATGGGTCTGAGGAAGGTGGAATTGGAAAAGATATAAGTGAAGTTTTACATAAGTTCGGGTGCACTCTACTTCTTAGATTTCCCTAAGGAAGACTGGGTTCCTAAAGTTTCCTTTGGAAGGAAGTGTAGTCACTAACAGAGAGAGCGTGACCTAGGGAGTGGCAAACCCAAATTCCGATCTGGTTTGGCCACTGCTGCTGGTAAGGCCTTCCACAAGTTCCCTAACCGCTCTGAATCTCAGCACCCCTCCCAAATCAGGGACAGTCACACCTGCCTCAGAGGGATCTAGTGAGGATTAACCAAACATGCCTGCGGCTGCCTAGGATGAGTATTTAATAAATGCTGGTTTCCTCTCTTTGGTGCTCTTATACCTAGACCCACAGTTCACAGGGGAGAAACCTGGGCCTCTTTCTTAGAAGTATACGTATTGAACTGAGGATGCTATCCTTTGCTTTTAGTAGCTGCCCCCCCCTCCAAGGGGGGGGGGGAGAATCACTGTTAAACCTTTACCTTCCTGGACAGTGGGATGTGTGTTTGGTCAGTAGGGAAGTAGGTTATGGGGAGAATGCAGCATGTTATTTTATTGTCTGAATCTGTCCTTGCCAGCAGAAACGCTCGGATGGTTTCTGGACTGAGTTGACTTTGGAATGCACCCAACCCCACCTGACTAGGCTTTCTGTGACTCTGCAAATAATGAGGGCCATCGCCCCCCCCTCCCCCACCCCGTTCTTTTCCAAGCAGCCTAGTAGCAGAATGCAAAGGAGGCACCAGGAACCCTGCTGGAAGTCCTCTGTTGGCTGCAGGCTGGTGTGACTGCAGCTTAGTCCTGAACTTCCGGCCAGGTGTGCCCCTGCTCTACAGGCCTGCAGTGTCGCAACCCCAGTCCACCGCTGTCTTAGAGATTTGTCAGCTGCTACTGTCAGTGTTATTTTCTCTGTAGGCGTAAGACCAGAATAATAGTCTCAACCTTGTTCTGGCGTGAGTTCATGATGCTACTGAACAATATCACCAGGAACGACAGCTTATTTACCTCCTCAGTTTGGTTCCTCAGCAAAAATATGTTCTCATTCCTGCTTTTTTTTTTATGTGAGTGTATTAAATACACGACTCTATGCTGGGTGCTGAGGAAATAATATAATGAAGAAGGAATGGCCCCTACACTCACAGAGTTTATGATCTAGTAGAGAGCGATGTACTTGTGAAACACTGCATGTCGTGACGTATACTGACAGCAATCCTTGTGGATGTGGAAGAGCGATATCTCTCACCAGGGAATCTGAGAGGGCTTCCCAGAGGGGCCTGGCGTTTGAGCTGGGCCTTTCTGATGGCTTCTTTCACATTGTCATGAAAATTAGTCGCTCTTACTGGAATCTTGAATTAAAGACTGAAGAAAAAAGCCCTGACTGGTGTGGCTCAGTGGACTGAGTGCCCGCCTGAGAACCAAAGGGTTGCCAGTTTGATTCCCAGTCAGGAAACAAGCCTGGGTTGTGGGCCAGGTCCCCAGTAGGAGAGCATGTGAGAGGCGACCAACTCATTGATGTTTCTCTCCCTTTCTCCCTCCCTTCCCCCCTCTCTAAAAATAAATAAATAAATAAATATTTTTTAAAAAGATTGAAGAAAAAAATCTTGTCTAAATAGAATTACTCCTCAAGATCTAATAAAGAACACTGGCCTCTGAGTTAGAAGACCTGGGTTCTAGTCCAAGTTCTGCTATGAACTCGCTCTGTGACCTTGAGCAAGATATGTGCCCTCACAGATCATAATTTCTTTGTTGAATTATGGGTAGTTGGGAAAACGTAATCTCCAGGGCATTTCCTAGTTCTAAAATACCTTTCTTTCTTTGCTCCTATCACATTACAAAAATGAAATGAAAGGAAAAACGAAAAGAGCTTAGAGTAAGTTCAGGCACCGCGGAGACGGGGGGGGGGGGGGCGGGGGCGGGGAACGGAACACAGTGTGCAGAATCAGCGGCAAAGAAGCAGTTCCCGGGTGCCACCTGGGCACGGGTGAGAGCAAAAGGGGCTTTGCTGGACTTGACAGGTTGGCTGACTTTTCAAGGAACAAGGGAAAAAGGTTTAATATGCATTTCCTTCTTTCTCTCTTCTTAGTGCACTTGTTCAGCACTCGAATAGGCAAACAAGACAGATGCTGGGCCTTCCGCTTCACTCACCAGCCCTTGTCACGTGCAAGCTGTTCCATCCATCTCCCATAGACCGGTTTTTGGAAACTCATCACTGCCTTAACCTGAGTTCACTGAACTCTGGGTGAAGCTTTCCTCCCACTCATTAACATAATGGAAACTATAAGGCATCACTCACCTCAATTTCCTCTTCCTCACCTACAAATTCATACGTGTCCACGCCCATTCTTCTCTTCAGAGTCACTGCTCCTCTTGCAGGCCAATCCCTCCTTCAGCAGTGCCTCTGGTTGCACCTGCCATGCCTGTGCCCTCTGGGTCCCACTTCCGTCGATGCTGAACGTCTCCCACCCCTTATTGCCTCTTCCCTTCAATTACAACTAAGCCTAAGACTTTGTCACATGAACGTAAGAAACAAAAATCGACATTGACCCTGGATCTCCTAAGAGCCACCACATATCTCTCTTCCTGTGTACTAT